CCCGTAGTTTCCGGGATAGGCTCCAGACCCCCTGCGACCCAGAAGGATAAGCGGTTTGGAAAATGGATGGATTATTATTTTAAGACCTGGAACCCATAGAGTTCTATCATTGAATTCAGACCCATAACTTGTTTCTAAGTATCATAATTTGTCCCAGCTCACAGGCCTGATTGTGAAATTAATGCTAAGGTCAGTAAATCTCAGTTAGGGGACCTAATCCCAACCCAATATCCAAACAACAAAAAAATGCATGTGACAGAAAGAAATCACCAGATTTCCACAACCATGTCCACTGGTTTTCTCCAAAGCACTTGTAATTTTAATTACAATTATGAATTTGACTTCTAATGATTATCAAAACAAAATAATAAACATAATAAACATAAAAAATTATTGTCGCTCATTTTAATTTCACAATGTTCCCTGTTTGTTTTGTGTTAAAAATACAGCACACCCCTTTCCAGCCCCTTTTTATTTGTTTCTCAGTCTCATTTAAAGATCAAAAAATGCATATTTACACTGCATAATTGTGTTAAATAATCATGATCTCAATATTGACTTAAATAATTGTGATTATGATTTTTTATATAATCAAGCAGCCCTAAAAGATGCCATCAGTGCCCTGAAAATTCTTATGCTTAAGAAAGCAGTTTTAAAGGGAGCGATTTACTAGTCTATGAAATGTGAGCAAAGAGGAGCATGATACTTTGCTGTTATTTTCTCCTATTCTCAGTGACTCATTCATATATTTGCAGGACATATTAATTGGAATATTGAACCTAATGTGATGTGTTAGGTGATTCAATTTTTTTTTTTTAATAAATTTTTTTAATGCCGCTCACTGGAGCTTCAAAACAATAACTCACAATGCAGCCGAAATCACACAATGTAAAGTTTCATTAGTCTGAATTACAAAACAGCCCTGTGAATATATATTATTGTACATTTTGCCGGTGGCATATGCAAACGGTATCTCAAAAATGCATCAAAGCCATTAAAGAAACCTGATAATCTTTAGGCCCTTAAGTTAATTAAACAAAGTTAAGTCGGCTGCATGTTTTAACAGATCTCAAATCCTGCAGAGTCAAATATTCGTGAAGGGATACAATCAATGCTCCTGAGTTCTTGCCTTGGTGCCGAACGTGACATCACACAATGTGCTTCACTTGATATTTTGCTGTCATCTGTCTTTATCTTGTATTTATTGTTTTTGACCATGGATTATCAATTATGATTAACGCACACCATAGATTTAACATTCTTTTGATCGTAATACAGCATAAAATGTAAAATAACTTGTACTTGCTAGTTCATCAATTTTCAATTTTCAACTCAATCTCTCACTACATCACAAAAAGCTTTTATAAATCCAGATTACAAAATATTTTTTTATTTCATATCCTTGTATTTTTTTGTACTAGATGTTTTGCAGTACAGGACTATTATTTACTGGACTTCTGAATGTATTTGGTAAGCCTTGTGCTCACCCTAAAATAAATTATTATTGACATTAAGGATTCAGATCAGAGTTAATAAACAAACCCCAAAAAATCTGGGTTAAAGCCACTGTTAGTGATCAGCTACTTCTCCTGATTCAAGGTTTCAATTTGCTGTAGTGATGATAATCAATTATAGGATTTAAAATGCCAAAATACAAAGTCAGGAAAACACACATTTGCCGAGATCGTCTTCAGACACCATATCTACAGTGCTGAACCTTAGTACAGATTACATCAAAACGTCATGTTACAACATATACCTACAACATATCACTGTCATATTCTCATCCTTAGTTTTGAGAGTCAAGTTATTTTAGTAGTATTGCCAGTTAGTTACCAAAATATACTTATAAATTGAAATCAACCAATTTGTAACCAATTACAAAGTGAGTGCAAATGATCATGTACGTATCCGTGAAAGTTTACTGATTGCTCAACCAACGGTGATTTTATTTTAATTTCTTTTTTATTAGAGGTTTGTGATATTAACAAAAATTTGTTTAAAGTCTTGTAAAATATATCCAATTGAAATAATACGTATACATGTGTTCATCAAGACTCAATATCAAAATATAAAGCCACTAATTCAAAAAGACCATCCAACAAACTGAACTCTCAGATTAAACTGGATGTTGACGCATTTGTTCCCAGTCTCTCTTATGCTGTTAGACTGGTAATTTGCAGACTACATCTTATTAGATTCTGCTTCCTGTGTCACGCAAGTTCAGAAATCTTACAATCAATCAAATTCCATTGACTATCATCCCTACAAGACAGGTAGTAATCCCCATGGCTTGGATACATTCCCAGTATGCCTCTTCCCCTGTCTATCTCTCCATAAACCCCACTAAATTACTCCCTGCCTCTCTATTTCAACAGACACCTGGAGAGCAAATTATTTACCATCTCCGAGGAGGCTTACATGTTTAAGTACTAGCTGGGGTCAGGATTCCCTCATGCTTGTCAGGTGCATTAAGACTTGACAAAAACACTGTTAATTCTAATCTTACTTTTGTATTAAATCGCTGCCGGGAACTGTATCACATTTATAGCCACATTGATAATTGTCAAAAACACCACATACAGTACAAATGGAGTATTAGCTTTATACAGCTACAAGTCTTCATTTCAATTATGTCAAGCAAGGATTGGTGCTGTGACACAGCACAGCGAGAGGAAATAAGAAATGGCAGGATCTCAGTGTGATGAACATGGGCAAGGTTTCCTTTCATTTCCAGTATCTACATATCTGTTTTAGAGTCTTATTAGAATCCTGAATTTTAGCTATTGGTACATTTCCTCACACATTTACCTGCCCACCCCCCCACAAAATTTTAAATGTTTATTGTGTTTGCATATTTTTGTAAACAGAGAATCAGTAAGCATCATAATTACTCCTTACATACAATGGTTGGATATTATGCTTTCTTATGTGTTTTAGCATAAAGACCAAAAATTCATGCTATCCAGTGCTACAAAAAAGTAAATTACCACATACAACCAAGTTCAGGATGAGTGTGAGGTATTTCCTTGATGATTAGAGTCTTTAAGGTAGGCAGTGTACTGCAGCAGATCGTTGTGTAAATCAGGGCTATTCAAATCACGGTCCTCAAGGTCCAAGCACTGCTAATTTTCCAGCCTTCCTTTACCTGTGAGGGCTTGAAGCCTCTGTGGCCAATCAGAATCAGTAATAAGTAAACAAACTACCTAGAACAACTGAAAACAAGGCCTGGATTTGGAATCCAACAGATACACCACTAAAGCTAGCTCTCCTGAACATCACAAAGTGACTCACAATCTGACAAACAGCAACTGCCCAATTGCAAGCTGTGCATTGATGTAGCGATCATTAGCTCTGCCCACACTAACATCAAGGAAGGGGAAATTATAAAGTACAAGGCAAAAATTGTGATGTGCAAGCATAGAAGACAAATATTAAGCTGACTGAAATACACAGGAATCAGATTGGGGAAAAAAGTGTAAAACCAGTGGGGAAAAGTATTAGTAATTAAGTAACTTGTTTTGCATTGTCATGTGAAAAACCCTGTGAACTGATAATCAGTTGTGAGTGAAAAAGTATACAACCACAATCAGCTGCTGTGCATATAGGAAAGTTGACTGACTAATGGTCCAGTCATGATCATTGCTGTGTCGCCTAGACATCTGTATGCCAGCAAGGGGTATGTCTTTACATTGCATGTCTGTTAATGAGATTATTCATACTTGACTGTTATTAATTGATGTCAACATGACTTCAATACTAGATAGTAGAATAGGGTAGAAGTACTTCTCATCTAAATCTTGCAGACACAAATATATTTTTATTCCTAAGGATTCCTAAAAATGTATACACATAATCATTCCCTTATATAAAAGGTGATAAACGATGGGTTAAGAACGGAGTTCTGTGTTTTGATGTAGCTAGGTAAAAAATAACAAGAACTCAGTATAATACATGTTCCCCTGGGTATTATAGGAACAAACTGCTTGCTATTGCTGTTTTCTGTACAAAAAGAACAGACCTTAAAAAGAATGATTACTCTACACAGGAGCTCTGTCTATCATCTGCTCATTAATTCATCCAGACAGACTGCTGCCTTTCAGCAACCTCTTCGTCATAATTTAAGACACAGTCCCAAACTAAGAATACCACAATATCCTTATGATGCTGACTGCAGTTGAATTAGGCCCTGAATTTTGTTATGAGTCTTGGATGTCCATTTTAACAATATCACACTAAACCGATGCATACACGTCGTACATAATTTCTTGACGCCTAGTACTGGTGGACGTTATCACTTGTCATCACCCAAAACAGGCTATTGGGAAGCACTAGTTAATATCACTGTAAGCAAACGTTAAATTTCTCTATTACTAATTTTTGCGCATGCTCAAAGCACAGTCATACAACATTATATGACAGCTTTGTGAAATCGGTTATAAAACATCCCAAACAGGTTTATATCCTAAGCGATTTATTCAGGCCGAAAGATAACACGGCGTACTTAGTCTTTTAAATAATTTGAAAACGGTGGACGGTCTGATGCAAGAAAGAACATCGACAAATTTATTTCTCCATTTATCCAAGCGACATCCAGGATAGGACCCCCCTTCTCGCTAGCACCAGCAAAAACAGGAAGAATCAAAAGCAAGCACAATTTTTAATACTTAGTTATGTTAAGCAATATTATTGAATATAACTTCAATACATATTTGCAATTACTGATCAAAAAACTAAAGCGAATTGGGGCTGAAAGGCTCGCATGTGATTTTATAAGCAGTACAGGACTGAGATGTGCAAGCCGAACAAATAATGTTATTTATTTATTTTACTGTACCCGCTATGTTTCTTTTTGCCTAGCGCAAATTTCCCCTAATTTGTTATTCTAGAAACAACAAAGACTACTCAGACAAATTATAGTATTAAATTCGGTTATAATAACTATTATTAAATTGGAATGCATATAAAAAACAACGAAACGGTTCAATTTCAGATCTTACCTCGGCGTTTTTCCAAACGGAGTGGGACAGTATTGTAATTAAAAGAGATAACACAGTATGTCCCATTTTTCTTCCTTTCCCTTTCCCGTCCTTCCAATTGAAGGTTCTTATATAAATCTGGTATATTCCCAAATCTGGGTATCTTTAAAGAAACTGCTGTGTGTCAGTGTCCAGCGGTGATATGTCTTCAGTTTTACGGCTTGCAATTGCTTGACTCTGCGCTCCAATCGCACCCAGGAATATTATGTGGCTTCTGGTACACTGGAAAACCAAGCCCTTTTGTATGCCTCAACCCGACTCGTGAAATTTATTTGCTTCACCCGTGAAGCAAGGAAGAGAGAGATATCAGACAAGAGAGAGGGACGCCTACAGGAGAGGCGAAAAATGTGGGAGTCGTGTCTGGGCGGTGAAGGACGTTTTATTTGCATTGACCTTAGACGTTATATCAAGAACAGTAAACATTTTGTCTTATCATATATCCGATTTTTGTGTGTTGCACTAGTAATGTGAAATATAAGCAATCAAATTTGTTATATTGGTAGACGTTTGATTCAACAACTAATCATTCTGACATGTTCAGTAGCGGGGAGGGGGTTCACGGCAGGGAGACCCACCCGGTCGATACATTTTACCGAGTACCCCTTTTCATAATTGATAATCACGCAAAATTCTGTGAGACCCCAAACTCCTCTGCCCCTGGACACGTTGTAATAACAAAAAGAGCAAAACATTAGAAGCCCATGTAAATATGCAGAATATAATACAACTTTCATTTATACATTTTTAAATTAAATTTCATATTATTACTATTGCAAAGTACGATGCACGATACAAATTTATGTTTGTATATATAATAAAAGTTAGTTTTTCAAAAGAGTTATTTTTGCTTCGAAATCAAGAACAACTGAAGAAACGGTTTATTGTACATATATATAAACCTTTATATATGTGATAAACTGTAATCGGAGTAACATTTCAGGCTATAAAGGAAAATCTAATTAGAAATGGCTACACCAATTCCATAATTAATTGCAATTTAAAAACTATTTCGAGATAGAGAAATGCACATTTATTTGTTTATTAAACTGAGCAGATATACAAAGCATATGATGCATACAGTATAACCTGATATTTAGTTTACAGTGTATTATTATATTGTTATAAAATATCAATCTAAAGTTCAGATTCAATTTAAATTAGAAATCTAATAAATTAAAATAAATTGGCCTCCACATGTGCTTAAACTTTTAACTGAAATTCCATTCAAGCTGCGCAAGAATTATAACATTTTTAACCGTTTCAGTAATGATGTCTAATCAAAAATATTTGCAAGATTTAGAGTTGCCACTTGTACTATACTACACATATACTACACTCTGAAGTCTTTGCACAAATGTCAAACACGCCAGCCTCCGCTCTTACTGAGCAATTGGGTGCATTCTTGTGCACTTTGCATTTATAATGAAGAGATTAGTGGTTATTGTTGACATACCACAGGAGACACTGCACAACAACGAAATGTGTCCTCAGCATTTAACCCATGTGACATAGCAGGGGGCAGCTAATTCAGCGACCGAGGAGCAGGGTTTGGGGGTGGTACCTTGCTCAGGGTACCTCAGTGGTGCCCTGCTGGGATTCGAACCAGAATGGGTATACACGATGAGCAGGACGTGACAATTACTGGCTGGAAAGCATGCATTCATTTAAATTTGTAACTATTTATGGGTGTGTTTCCTGAAGACGATCGATCTTAGTGAATAACGAATAAGACAATGAACGACGTAGGTAAAGAACGAGCGAGATTCGTGTTTCCCAAAACCTTCGTTATTCCATAATGAACGAACAAACGTTCAAGGATCGGCAGACAGTCTGACTCCTTGTGTTAATCCATTCATATTCGCCATTTTATTGTTGCATTTTACATAAAGGCAACCCAGTATGTCTAATCTTAACTATTGGGGGCAGTGTTTTTCAGGGGACAATGGCATGGTAACATAGCCTACAATTATTCGTTTGGACCCCCCTACATTTAACATAAAATATTAGTTTTATGCCAGTGTGTGTCCCCCACATTCAAAATGCTTCTGACGCCCTTGTTTTTTATTACATTTAAATGCAAGTAAAACATAATTACATGGTTCTACAAATTCAAAGCCGGCGCTCCATCTTCTGGTCACTGGAATTTACTACTCCACCCTCACCCCCAGGTGCGCGCCTACCTCAGCAAAAGACTAAAGGCATTTCGTGAGTCAGCAAAAGATAAAATACATTTCTTGGTGCCTTTCGTGATTGAGCAAAAGACGAAATGCATTTCCTGATTTCACAGAATTAGTTTTGTCCACAAAAGGACTGTGTATCATTCACAAAATGGATTTTGTTTACAAAAAAACTTTAATTCAGAAAATGCATCTTGTTCACAAATTGACTTTCTTTAATTCACAAAATGCATTTTGTCCATGAAATGACTGTGTATCATTCACAAAATGCATTTCGTCCACAAAATTACTTTTGTTCACAAAATGCAATTCGTTCACAAAATTACTTTCTTAAACTCGTGAAATGCATTTTGTCCACGAAGTGATTGTGTATTATTCACAAAAAAAAAAAAAAAATGCATATTGTCCACAAAATTAGTTTCTTCTGTCCACAAAATACAAAGTACTGATACCAATTCTGTGCACAAAAAGAAATGTTCCTTTTGATTTCTGTGCAGGGAAGAAAGTAAAGTCTTTATGCTGTAGTGGCATAAAGGCATTACTTGATTTTGTCATTAAATATTGTTTTTTGTGGTACAGAATGTATTTTATGCACGACAACGAGTGCTTGACACTTTGCGCCCCATATTTGTGCTAACCAAGTTTGCAGTTTGCATAATCAAATAAGGTAATCATTATGAAACTTAATCAACATGAGACAATTAAATTCCGCCATTTCACAAAGCCTTTTATAAAATGTTGATTCAAGGTGTTCAGTGAGCAAAGCCTCACCATGCTTCTGCATTCACTGTTCTTTATTTTGTCCCTTTACTTGTGGGTCTGGAGGTGAGCGTCTGCCTACAGGCGCGGGGTTGAGAGTAAGCCGTTTTAATGGAGGGTAGGGGTTACTCAAATAAAAACAGTAAGAAGAAAACTTTAAATCATGTAATGAGATAAAGTAAAACCTTGGAACACTAACCCCTCTTAACTGGACCATAACGGGTCTGTTGATTTTTTTCAACTTGTTCCTCGACGAAAATCTTCGTCTTGCTAAAACCTGTATCGGTTGAGATGCATTCTACTCTACCAATTCGGACCTTGAAAAAAAAAACTAACTGCAACTTGACCAAAAATTCAGAACACGACAAAACAAAACAGACCTGGTAAAACTTGTACGGATCAAGAAGCATCTCTGATGGGCTGACACAAAGGCAAACGGACCTACTGGCGCGGGAAAGCTGTGTTTGGTGTGATTTTTTTGTGCTTTATCTAAAGAACATTTATTGATACAGTAATAATGGCCCTTAAGAAAGTGAGCAGTGATAGCGGCAAACCAAAGAGGGAAGTAGTGAGAGTATCTGTAGAAATTATAGTGAGACTTGAAGGTGTGTCTGTTCTCACTTTGGAGTATGAGATTGTCATTTATTTCATATACATTGCTTTTGTTTGTGCTCTTTTTCATGTGTGTATTTGTTCTAAATTGATTGTTAATCCTTTTTGTCAAGGATTTGGGTGGTTCAGGCACAGGGGCGTGGCATGATGCAGGCTGGGATGAAGGAGGTGGACAAACCGCTGGTGGCTCAGGGAACACAGGGGTTTATTATACAAAACTTAACACACTAAGAACACTACAAAATAAATGGACCACGAGGGATCAAAACTAAAAAGGGGAAAAACAATGACAAATTAAAAAAGGTCAGGCCAACAAGTAGCAGGCAGGCAACAAATAACAAAACACAAGGTAACCTCTAAGAGATGAAATGCACCTCATCAGCTACACAAGACATACTGCGCTGACAAACATCAATGACTCCAGGAGGAACATAACAGGATCAGGAACTTAAATACAAAAGGTTAACAAGGATACACTCAAAAAAATTATTCTGAGGCTTTGTAAATATAACAAAAAAGATCCCATTTATATTTACTTGCACAAAATAAGGTATCGTAATTACTCACTTTTTTAGGTTACTTACTTAATCCATATTTGTAAACATGATATACAAAATTTGTGTCTTGAATTTATTTCATAAACTGGGTTCAGTTTACAAACGATTAGCTCTTACATTTAAGAACAAAGCAAAGCTGAGTAATGTTAACTTGAAGTCCTCATTTACGCTCCAGTCCTGCAGATGGCAATAACACACATTAATTAGGGTGTCTAATAGTGATGGGAAGTTCGGATCATTTTACCGACTCGGACCTTTGAGTCTCGTTCAGCAAATGAACGAATCTTTTTTCAAGTCATTTCGTTCATTTTAGCAAATATAATTAAAATGTTACCTGTTACCTCCCTAACACATCCACTGCTTACACAAATGTTGATCACACTACAAACAAGACAAAACTATAATGCTATAAGAAACAGAAAATATTAATTAATTGTTTACCTGGGTCTTTAGTATATGATTCGCTCACCTCGCCTCTTATCTGACAAGTTTTCAGGTTTGAGTTGTTCGTTCATCACGTGACAGCCCAATTAGCTAACCAAGGCAGTCTGAGCCGGAAAAAGAATTGATTAGTTCATCTCTCCAGTCTTCGGGTTTGAGTCATTCGTTCATCACGTCACAGCTCCATAAGTTTAACCTATGCAGTCTNAATTGATTAGTTCATCTCTCCAGTCTTCGGGTTTGAGTCATTCGTTCATCACGTCACAGCTCCATAAGTTTAACCTATGCAGTCTTAGCCGGAAACAGAATTGATTAGTTCATCTCTCGAGTCTTCGGGTTTGAGTTGTTCGTTCATCACGTGACAGCCCCATAAGCTTAAGCTATGCAGTCTGAGCCAGAAAGAGAATTGATTAGTTCATTCCTCGAGTCTTTTTGAAGTAGTTTTGCTATTATTTTATATATTTATATATCTATATATTCTTACAGTTTTGTAAATGTACTACGTTCTAATGTCCTGTAGTCTAATGCTAAATGTGAAATTGTCTCTAATTGATATATGAAATATGCGGACTGAAAGTTCAACAATCGTTTCTTGTTTCAGAGTACATTCAAAGCTTACATTACATTACTTGATTACTTGTACATTTAATAGGTAATAGATTATGCCTCTATGGATGGGCTTTTAAAAAAATGCTTTGTTTAGTGTTATAGCTTTAATAGTGCTTTTATTTCATTTTCTAATAGAATTTTGCCCTGCTGTTCAGAACTTCAGAGA